AAATAGGTAATATAGAAAAGTTATATGTGTAGCCAATTGTATGCTCTTCTGTAACAACCTTAGCATCACAAAAAAAAAATGGTAACTAGATCCTTTTGCCAGTTGATATGTAATTTCAGATAACAATTACTAGGTAAATTTTTGATTTTTTTTTTACAATTAAGATGTATTACATTGACATTTTTATATTAAAATATTATTAAAAACTTTAAAGTTAATGTATAAAAAATACTGGACACTATTTCAGATACATTTTACAAATATAAGAAAGTTTGATTATACTAATGCTAATAATTAGCAAATTTAATTGAAGTAATAAATTGTTATTCTATATATTTATTTAAATATATTTATTTTTGTTACAAAATAATAGGTGTATATTCTTTTAACTATTATAATTAGAAATACACTTTCATCTTTAATTGCTTGTCACAAAAAAATAATGCTTAAAAGTTTATCATTTCCAATACATCATATTGTTATTAAAGTCTTGTCATATTCTTAGTATTGTTCATTAGTTATTTAGTGATAGAATGTCATTATTCATTTTTTTTAGTAATTTAAAATTTAAACAAATATTTTTTAGTAATAAATATCTTTTTAACTTGATACAGAATTTTTCTAAAAACTTCTTGGTCTTAAAATGCAATTAAATTATTATTTTTTTTTTAAAAAAAAAAATTAACAAAATTTAAATACTTTGTCTAAGACTTTATGCAAATATATCAATTTTGATTCATATATATCTTGTTTATTATTGCTATTTTCAATAATATAATCATTTTTATATTCAATAAGTTGGGTTTAAATTAATAAGAAAATTAAAGTTTTATGATTTTGCAAATCTTTCAAGTTAAACATGTTTACTAATTTGTTTTCATATTGTCACGATCCAAAATAGGATCATCAATATTTCAGTTAAGTTACATCACATAATGAAGTAATAATATATAGTAGATACAGCACATAAAGTGTAATTAGTAGATAGAGATATAGAGCGTAATTAGTAGATATAGCATAATCAATGTAATTAGTAGATATAGCATATAGAGCGTAATTAGTAGATATAGCATAATCAATGTAATTAGTAAATATAACATATAGAGCATAATTAGTAGATATAGCGTATAGGAAAAAGTATATAAGTAATGTGGTTATAATGTAATAAAAACAAGTCTCATATAACAATTAATAAAGTAACACTTACCTGTAGACTTGCTCAAATCCAACCTTTCTTTTGAGTACTATCTCGTCTGATGTTATGTGAAAGACTTTCGTTTACCCTATGAATAGGAAGTTTTAGAGTCTACAATTTCCATAATATGATAATTTGAAAATATTAGTAAATAATTTTTATTTTATTACATCTTTAATATAAAATAATATGGTATATATATAATAATCTTAAATAAATAATTACTTGTTTTTTTAAAAAACATCAAATCAACTTTTTCAATAGAATTAATCAGATGCTTGCATAAAAAAAAAAGACTCAGACTATATATAGAACATGCATATATCTATTTAGTAGTATTTATAAAATACTTATTATTTAATTATTTTTTACTTTTCAAGTCATTTCTATTCTTTCTTAAACTTCTTTTACTATAGTACTAAATATTGACTTTGCTAAAGTAATTAAACTTAATATGTCTGCTAAGTAAGAACTTTCTTAATAAGAATAAAATATAAATAATTTATTTTAGGCTTGTAAAATTTATATAAATAACCATGCTTAATATGATGCTAATGCATTTTAATAATTATAGTTGTTTTAATATGATAAATATTTTTATTAGCTGATCTAGCCTAGAAGATCCATTGTTCCTTTAAATACTATTCTTTTCAAAGGTAGATTTACAATTTAAGTAAATTGTTATTCTTACAAAATTGAAATATTTAATTAACACATTCTTTTCAAATTTCATTTACATTCATAACAAAGCTACCATCAGATTTTGGTAATAACATATGCTAACTTGAATAATTTTTTATAAATTCTATTACTGTTTTGCATAACTCCAAAGGGCAAAAGCTTGTTGAGTTAATATTTATAACTTCTCAATTAGGATCAATTATTGAACATTTCTCATATACAATTTTAGAATTATAAGTATAATATATGCCTACTTATTTGATGTTAACTGTTGTTTAATAGCATAATGCACATGTCACATACATAATTGTATACAAGCTTCTGACCAAACTGTTTATGTGATATTTATTTCTGAAAAATCTTTGTCAACTAAAACAAGTGAAATATTCTTTAAATATTATTCTTTTAATGCCTGCATCCAATATGTAAAAATTTTTGTTATATATTAATTTTTTTTAATTAAAATTAATAAATAACTAAAAAAAAACCTAGTACTATTGATTACACCCATAAATGCAAATATTTTTCATAATAAGTTATTTATACCATAAATTGCATCAATTACTATCATATCTAATTTATTGTAAATTAATTTATAAAATAATGTTGTTAAAAATCCAAGGGCAGAAATCAATAAATTAAAATGATCTAATATAATTTGTAAACCACATTCTTCTAATAAAAGTTTTGTAGATAATAAAAGATCTGAATGTTGACTATATATCTTTTGAGACTCTACTGACCACCAATAATAAATTTGTTGAATAGTTATAGATTCATATTTAGTGATTTGATTTTCATGAACTTGATGACAAGTTTTAGAAGAAGAACAATAAATATGATCTTTAACAAACTGTTTAATTCAGAAAATGTTTCAACATGGCTTGACTGTAGATGTAACATTTGTAAGAATATTTAATTACAATTAAATCTAACTCTAAAAAAATTTCTATACTAATAATTCCTTCACAATTATACCTTTCTAAAAAAGTAGGTGTGTCTCTTTATTTTTCTAAAACTGGATGTTTGGCTTGATGCTTTCCAAGTTCAATCCAACAATTACAATAATATGTTAAAAGAAAAAAATTTTTTTTTTGATTCTTGACATGATAAATCCATGAGTATCCATCACCTTCAGAGATCAATTTAATTATATAATGACCAAATTCAAGGTTAAAATTTTCTTTGTCAGAAAATTTATTTTCTAAAAGAAAGTTTTGAAGAGACGAAAGCTCAATATTAAGACAAAGATTTAATTTATCATTTTCGTCTTAATAAAAATCATTAGTATTGTTTAAAGAAATTAGAGAATTATACACCGTTTCAGTAATATCCATATAGGTGATCATTGATTCAAGTTGAATTTTGTTTTTTAACGAGTTTTTTTAAGACTATTTCGACACTTTGAACATTTTGTTACAAGAAAACCTTTTTCTCTCAGAAATTCTTCATAATTTTTAGATACATGGCAACCAATACAGGTTTTATTATTTAAATTTGACATGGTAAATATTCGTAGAGTCAAAGAAAAAGCCTAATAATTATCGATATTAATATTGTCGTTATAGTTTACTAATACAATCAATACGTCAGTGATAATCGTCATTTCATGATGCATGATTTTACCAGCAATCAGAATCCGATATCATATGCAAGCCATTAAGAAATCCGGCTACCATTTTTTTTTGGCGACGCTATGTAAGTCGTGACCACACACGGCAGACGTATGTTATAGTACAAAAATCTGCGTAAGAAACCATCTTTAGTGCTCAAAAAAAAAAGGGTTCCCTAGGTGATTTTGCTATATATCTTGTTAGCATCTAACACCAATATACAGTATAATACCAATATAAACGCTAATCTTAACTAGAAGATGCTACAAACTATCGTTATAGTTATAAAAATAATTCATGTTTGATAAAAAAGTTGATACATTCAAGAAAACGCATATAACGTCAACGTTATCCTATCGCTATAGGGTAAAAAGGCATTTCCTAAAATGGAATCATCATTTGACACTACAGTATAATGAATGGTTACGAATTTACATAATTAGCTTCATCATTCCAAAAAATATAAAAGATTGATTTTCAGTTATAAGAATTGATAAGCATAGAACTTTTTATATTACGATTAAATTTAAAATGAGGCTATTTTTATAGTTATCTATTGTTTTACCTATTATTATTTCACGAGATATTGTTTTACCCATTATTTCACGAGATATTATTTCACGAGACAATGAAAATAAGGCTGTACGCCAAAATTCTTGCGCGTTACTAGTAAATCAACGGGTTTATAACAAGCTTGTAAAATATACAGTATGAGTGCCACTAAGGCTAAGAAAAAAACGTGTTATCGGATTCAATTTACTGTACTGTATCTGATTTTTTTTTCAGAGATTGTGTTATACATGCTGTATAAACTATTGCGGCATTTTCAAAAATATTTTGACATTGCCGAAAATATTTGGTGATTTAATAATACCATGATACCGAAATACCTTCAACAAATTCGCAATAGTTTCTATGCCATGTATAATGTATAAGTAGATTATATAAAGTCAAAAATCTGATAAGTGATTTTCTTTTTCCTTTAATGGCGCTCAAATACACATCAACATCAACTAGGTTTTATTTGTTCCATGATATTTACAAGACCATAATGTTACGTATCAGTGTGATACTGTGCGTGCGTGCATAGGTATAGTAATTTTAACAACGTGCGATTTTATTATTAATGCGTGTTTATCTTGATTGTTCTGGAGTTTTTAAATCCGAAATTCATTTTTTTTTATCATCAAAATAGATTTACACTCTACTCTTAAAAAATTATGCAATAATAATTTTAAAAAATAAAAAAAAGGACAATAAATAATGAACCGCATATCGTGTAACATTTAATATGTATATGGTTACTTTAATTATATATGAAAGATTTAATTTCTGTAAATAATTACCGAAATCAAAATTTCATTTGTCGTGCACGTAAATACAGAAATAAAAGGTTTTAAATTTTTTTTTTAAGAAAACTGTTTTTGATTTTTTTTTTCCTTTAAAGTTTAAAATTAATACACCTTCTTTATAAAAAGTTTTTTTTTTTTTTCCTGAATGTAATCAAAGAAATGTCAGGTACAATTCACGAAAGGGATGATAGTGATTATGATGAATTACACAAATCGGAATTAGAATATGATGCTTTACAATTTAATAACAATATTAATCGAAATAGTCAAAATATTTATAATTCCAATACATTATCACTTCAAATTCCATCGAGAACTTCCTCATCTAAAACAAACATACTTAAAAAGTTAGGACTTTTGAAATTTTTCGAAGTCGATGATTCATCAACTACTACTTCGTTTTTAGAAGATGGTTACGTTAGAGTAGTTTTCCACGTCCATCTTCCTCCAAAACTTGAGAATATCTCTCGTGATTTCCCCTTAATAGATAAAGCAATTCCTTGCGTAATTGGTAGTATTGATGAACTTGGTAATTGGGAAAATGAGGTAGTTCCACTTAAACAACCTTATTTTAAACCGCTTAGAGGATTTTATGGGGAAAAGAATAGTACTTATTGGGTGTCTGAACCCGTGATGATTCCAATAAGCAAGTTTGAAGAAGGTGAGGTTAGGTATAAATACGCTGTACAAATTATTGAAAAAATAGATAAAAAAAGTATTAAAGCTGAAGAAAAGAAGATTAAAGAAGCTGAGAAAAATGCTGAAAGGGATAGAAAAGAAGCAGTGAAAAAGGCTGAAAAGGATAGAAAGGAAGAAGAAAAAAGAGCAAAAAAAGAAAAAAAAGACGCTGAAAAAAAAGCTGGAAAGAATAAGAAAAATGATATTATTCAAGATGATGAAAATAATAGGGAAGTGAATGTCGATGATGAAAAACCAGGAGATATTAAAAACGACGACGACGGCGACGGTGACAACGATAATGCTGACAATGGTGGAATTGATGATGGAGATGGTGCAAAACAAGATAAAGGTGAAGATACGTTCAAGAATGATGAAAAGGATGATGATGATTATAAAGATGATGATGGTAAAGATGATAATAGGGATGACAATAAGAATGATAATAATGATAATAATGATTCTAAAAGACCCGAAGAAACAGAAAACGATGCAACGGATAAGAAATTAAAAGGAAATGAAAAACCAGACAAAAAAATAAAGGAAGAACCTAAAGTTATTTGGTTTCATGAAATTATTTATGATTCTCAGGATTATCGTATATTAAATGTAAAAGGTGATCAAATTAACCAGTTTGATATAGTGAACAAAATAAACCTTTATAATCGTTCGTATCATAAACGTATTCATGATTACGAATTCTTTAAAATAATCTGGAAATCACTTACACCTGAGAATGCTAAAATAAAGCTCAAGGAATATCTAGACACTTTGGAACGTTTTCCAGATGAAACTTTATCTGCGATTGATGTAACCTTTATCGAGGATTTACTTAAAAGTACAAGCGACAAAGAAAAACGTTTATTTTTAAGTATTGTACTAGGTTATTACATTATTACGCGTTCTAACACATTCGGAAATTATAACTTGCTCGGCAAAAAATTTCCGTCTCAAGCTGTGTTTGAATGTATTGAAAAATTTCTACCGGAAAATTGGTTACCTAATACTACTGAAATACTTTTAACAACTCTTCGAGCTTCGATTGTACGTGACGTACAATATGATGACTTTTTTTGGGTGAAAGCTATGTTCACGTTTGCGCATTCACTAGATCCGGATTATAACTTTTTGGACTGTATTTATAATCAAAAATTTAACGAAAAATATTCTGAATTACTCGTTACCTATTATTTTCCAAGATATGTTACTCCTAATATTAACAAGATTGAATATGATGAAACATATTGTAAAATCGCCAAAGTAAGCTCGTTTACAAATTTTAAGAATTTTTAAAATTTTAATTATAAACTAACTTCTTTATTTATTACTTATAAAAGTGGATGATAAAGATATGCTGTAATATGGATCAATTATTAAAAGTATGGAGTTCCTCAATAGAACATACGAATGCCAGAGATATATTGCTGAGAAAAACATTCCTTGAGCGTGTACAACACCACATCTCATCTGTCCCTGCTGAATTACTACAAAAATATTTTGCTTCAATTTCCGATGATTTCAAGGTAGATGTAGCTGTTCCTTTTCGAAGAGCTACTTTTGCTTTATTAGATCGTACTTATGTTCATAAATGGACAATATTAAACGTGGATGCTATATATTCTTTATTACAAAATGATTTGCTTGAATGGACTAAAGAAGATCATCTTCGTGCTCTCGAAATTATTTCACACTCAAAAAGCAAATTATTATTAAATAAATTTCCTAATCTACTTAAATTCTGGTTTAATAAATATAATAAAATTATTAATTTATCAGAATCAGATGAAATTCCTAATATTTGCGAACATTGGTATTATAGTATGTTATCTCATCTTGATTTCGCTACCGGTGATTGGAAATACGTTCACGATGTATTTGAAAATTTATCATATATATTTAATACCATAAAGAATCATCCAAATATATTGGATAAATTGATTAAAATTGCTATTGATCGATGTAATCAATGTAGTGATACTAGGATCTTTAAAGCTACAAAGCATATTCACAAATTTCATAAAATTGATCAAGATCTTGTTACTCCATTTGCTCAAATGGTGAAAGGAAAAATTATTCTTAAAGATATTGATGATTCGTTGTTGCAAAAGATGCAACAAATTTGTGCATGTAAACCCGATGTTTTGGATGTTCCCAATTCGTAAATATCTTTATTTATAATCCAACAACTTTATATATAATGTATATTTTACTAATATTTATTTTTATCAAATAGGTTATGTGAGGAAATATTATTATATATAGTAGAACAATTGAAAACTTTACATCCCTTATCTGACAAATCAGATTCTGAAATTTCTTCTACCTCAATAATTCTTCTTCGTCATTCCAAATTTTGGAATTTAATATTAAATCCAACTGGTCAAGTTACAAGATTGAAATCACATTCTTATATTAATCAAGTTCAAAATATTATTCGTAATTTCGAAAATATCTTGACACAAGAATCTATCACTTTCTTATTCTTACAAAGATTACTTCTTAATCAAGATGATATGTTGATTCGATTTTTTAATTCCGAAAAAATTAATAAATCAACTATTAATAAATTAAGAGATCAATGTCAAAGTTATTTGAATAAAAAAGATAGATTACATACTTTTTATACAAGATTTTGTTCTCAAGATAAAGTTAAAGATTTAAATTTTTTTCTTGATGATATAAATGAAAGATCAACAAAATTAGATAATTTAACTCTTAAAGAAACTCAATCACCAAATCATTGGAACAAACATGAAATCTCTGAAGAAGCTGCAAATATGGTATATGAATTAATTGATTCACAAACATTTAAAAATATTTTTGAAAATGTAATGAAAAATGAAGAAGGTGGAAATGTTTCAATGGAAAAATTGGTTAAAACTATTATACCATTAGTAATTCAAGAATATAAAAGATTTGCTCGACAATATAAAACTGGAAATTGGGAAACTCTTAAATGTTCAAATCAAATTGTACTTTGGCAAAGAGTTAATAAGGGGAATATTAGAAATGAACTTGATTATTTAAAAATAAAAAAAACGGATCGATTAGTACAAACAATGATACATATGACTCAATTTCCTATATATATTGAAAGACTTCAACAATTAAATCAAGTTATGTTAATATTCAAGGTTTTATATACTAAAGGTGGTTGGCTTAGTACTATGCTAATGATTCTTGAAAATGAATATTTATGGCTTGGCGCTCTTAATGATTTTTTCTCTTATTATAATAAACATTTATCATATCTTAAAGATAATTGTTGGGAATTAATTAAAGCATTATCATTATCTCATGATTTTGTTAAATGGCTTCGATCTATAGCTGAACATAATATAAGAAATTTGATTAATAGTGTAGATGACCAATCAGATGAACGACTTATTCAGGAAGAAACAATGTCATCATTGATTCAAGTACATCAAGTTTTAGTACCATTAATTAAAAGTGATGAAATCCTAACTATTAAAAAACTCTTGAGAAAATTGGTATTAATTGTGGATACAAATCCAAAATTGGGTCAAAAAATCGAATTATGTCATTGTAATAGAAATGCATTGGAAAATTTGGTAAAGAATGTTGATAATAAAACTGAAATTACTCAAGAAAGAATTAGTAACTCTGTTAAAAAAGGTGTTTTTACTTTTCAACGACTTGAAAATGATGATAAATGTACTGCTACTTTATCTTATGCAACACGAGTAATCTCAGAAACTTTAGATAAGCAAATGACAAAGTTCACATTAAATGATCTACTCGATTTACGAGGACGTGCCCTTTTGATTTCAAAACCTGGAATCACTTTGGATGTGGAGATTCTCGGTGAGGAAGGATTACGACATGATTTGGCTAAAAAGACAATGATTGAATTTGTTGATCAAGTTGATTTGGCTCAAGAGATCTGTAGATTGGCTTCGGAATTGATCCAAATGGGTCATTTTAAATATAGGAGATTTAATAAAAATGTTAAAGGAATCGATGAAATGGAATATTTACTTGATGAATTAAGAGTGGCTTTAGATGAATGGTACTATTATTAAACTTAACCTATGTTTTTTTTTAAAAAAAAATCAAGTCATTAATTAAAATGATTACTTCACTTTAGGAAAAAAATTGTGAACAAAGCACAAGAAAAATATTATTACCTGACTTTCTTTCCAGCTAGACAAATTTTGGTATTCTACGATTATTTCAGCCAAAGTGCTAAAGATAAAATAGAAAATATTGAAGAATGTAAAGCTCTTATAACCTTTGTAAATAACAATGTCGAATTACCACCATCAGATGTAGTATTAAATAATATACTTAATTATAACACGCCTAATGATAACACAGATGATGATATAGATCTTCCGATGGAAGGTAAATAATTATAATGTTAATTTTGATTTATTAAAATTTTGATTTATTAAAATTTTGTTTATTAAATAGTACTATTATGATAGTATTAATAGTATCAATGGTATTAATATTAACGAAATTAAATCATTTTATTTTATAGTATTTGATGATAGTATTAGTAAAACGAATGAATTAGTAAATAAAGTTTTTGGACAAAGTTATTATAAAAATCTATGCGCATTAGGAAAGATATTAGGATATTTATTCAGGAATATTTATAATAAACCAAAGCGAGTAGCACAAAACAAAATAGAAAGAGTAAAATCTGATTTCGTCTTTTCAGGAAAATTATTTGTGGCCGCATGTAATGATAAATTACTTGTTCCAAATATTATAATGTCATTATATGTTAATCATGAATCATATCCTCAACCATGGCAAATATTAATATGTACTCCATCAACTACTTTGGAAGAACTTTCAATCTTTACTAAAAGATGTTTCTTTGCATCAAAAAATGGATATGATGATTATTTATTTTGTATTGCTAATTTAGAATTAGTCGAATTTGAACTACAATATCAACTTGTTAACATTATTAGATCAATGAGTGATAAATTTGATAAATATTTATTGGCCCTCATATGTTGTCGAGAACCTGGGGTTCATCATCATATTTTGGATCAATTCTCACAGGATGTTCATACAACAAATGGTCTTGATATGAATTCCATGAAAATAATATATCAAGAATTATGCCCTGAAGTTTTTTGTGTGACATCGGAATTTTCTGGTTTAGGAAAAACTGAATGGATTAAAAATAAAAGTTATGAATTAAAGAAATCTCCAAATAGTTTTTTAATTAATGATGATGTTGATTTTAGAACATTAGTTAAACGATTTAAAGAATTTAAGATTCAACCTTTTGAAAGTTTACATTTAAATATAGTATCAGCTAATCATCCTAGAGATGTTAATATGTTTATATTTGAACTATTAACTTTAAGAATGGTTGTTAATAGTATTGATATAGCTCGTTTACTCAACACTACTATTTTCATAGAAATTGCTTCAACTGCTGATCAACGTTTTTTTAATTCTATACCTATAGTTCAATGCCTTGCAATTACCAATTTGAAATGGGACATTAGAAATCTCAAAATATCAAAAGAAATACATAGTCCTATTCAGATAGTTTGTCATTACTTAAATGCTTATGAAAGAACTATTGATACTAAGGATCTCTTATTTCAAACAACCGGGTCTGATGTTACAAAACCTATGTCTGATGAGGCATGTCAAGACCTGATTAATAAATATTTATTTGATAATGGCACTAGTAAACAAGATGTTACATCATTCAGATTTATTGAAATATTCATTAATGTCTTTGCTGATCAATTGATTCGTTTTTCTTCGAGTCAATTTTTCCAAGTTGAAAATTTAAAAGTCATAACTAAAGAAAAAGAAATTCGAAAAACTTTACTTCGAACATTTTTAGATGTATCTAAAGATTTTGCAACATTATCATTTAAAACTAAAACTGCTCAATTGGAATCAATAACTCCATCAAATAATGATAAATTAGCAACCATAGTTAATTGGGATGATTCAAATCATCTTTTGGTATTTTTCTTATCCCAAACACCAGATTCTATTTGTGCTTTATATCGTGATGAGAAACGAATTCCTGAAAATGTTAAAAGATTATTAAAAAGTCAACATACTGATAAAGATAAGAAATTTCAATTGGAAAATTATAATACTATGGATACAACACAATTATTGGAAAAGTTGGAACGTTTGGCAAGAAAAACTATGCATAAAATTAAGTATCCTCGTTATGCATTATCAGTGGATAATTTAATAAAGATGGCTTTAATTTTGTTAAGAGCTCGTGCTGACATTCCGGTAAACTATTACATCTTATTATTAACTAATTATTATTGTAAATACAAAGCAATTAATTATTGATATGCTAAAAATTTAATTACTTAATTTATATTTAGGTGATAGTTTGTGGTGAAGCAGGATGTGGAAAGGTAAATTAAAAGTTTCCATCCATCGGAATTCGTATTTTATTGAAAAAAAAATCTAATAAAAGGTTAATATTGAATTTTTTTAGACAAGTTTAATTGGCTTTTTATCACAAGTAGTTGAAGTAAAGTTCAAGTCATTAAATTTACATGCCGGTGTGACCGAAGAAAATATCTTATCTTTTATGGCAGAAGCTCAAAAAATTGCAGATATTTCTGAACTATGGTTATTCTTTGATGAAATAAATACTTGCAACCATATAGGTCTTCTTGCAGATTTAATAGCTCATAGGATGCTAAATGGTCGTCAAATACATCCTAATATTAGATTATTTGCAGCATGTAATCCGTATCGTATACGTACAAAGGATCAAAGTAATGTTGGATTGTCTACCAAGGCCAAAAAAAAGGAAATTAGATATGAAGAACGTAGTAATTTAGTATATCAAGTTAAACCATTACCCGATCAAATTCTTGATTATGTTTGGGATTATGGAATTCTCCAAGAAAAAGAAGAGGAAAGTTATATTCAAACCATGGTTACTGAAGCATTAACAAAAGAATATTCAAACGTAGATACGTTTGCAAAATTAATATTCAGATCTCAAATATTTATTCGTAAAGAAGAAGAACCTTACAGTGTTAGTCTTCGGGACGTGAAACGAGCAATTACCCTAGTAAAATTCTTTAAGGACAGTTTTACAAAAAGACCACAACAAAATGAGACAAAGTATCCTCCAAATGATGGAATCGGCATTTCACTTAGATGTTATGTATTAGCATTAGGTCTTTGTTATCAATGTAGATTATATGATCAAATAACAAGAAAAGAATATCGTGAAGAAATGGCAAAAATTATTAGTGAAGACATAAGTAAAAGTACAAGAAAATTTAAATTTAACGAAGAAGATTTTAGTAAGATTATTAGACAAGAGCAAGAAGATTATATTAATAGAATGACTTGCCCTCCCAATACTGCAAAAAATGAAGCACTCTTGGAAAATGTTTTGGTTATGATTGTTTGTATTCTCACCAAAATTCCCGTATTCATCATTGGAGCTCCTGGGTAAAACAATTATAAACATGCATCAAATTTGTGGATTCAATTTCATAACTACAGAACTAATATAAATCTTTTGATAACTTAAGGTCATCGAAATCATTGGCAGTTAGGCTTGTAAGTCAGAATCTGAAAGGATTTGATTCTGAAGATGATTATTTCCGAAAATTACCACAGGTATATTTAGTTTTCATACGATCCACGAATAATGCACTTGATACATTACTCTTAAACTAAAATCTTTGTAGGTCTATCTTATTCCACATCAAGGCTCTTCATCATCAACGTCAGATGGTATATTAAAAGTATTCGAAAAGGCTAACAATTATCAAAAAACAACTTCTAAAGAATTTCCTGTGATAAGTGTTGTATTGCTAGATGAAGGTAAATATAAAATATTACAAAAAGACAAAATCGGTTGTTTCTTAAAATGTGATTATAACAATTATCCTATGATTGCATAATATAGTTGGTTTGGCTGAAACAAGCCCATTCAATCCATTAAAAGTCCTTCATTATTTACTCGAACCACCTTATGGATCCGATAGTCAAACTGTTTCAGTGATCGGGATATCTAATTGGAGGTTGGATAACAGTAAAAGTAGCAGAGCTTTGTTGGTTCAAAGGTTGATATTATTATTTATTTTATGTATAGTTTTTTTTTTTTAATTATAAATAAATTAAGTCGACTTTATTACAAAATAGGCCCAAATTCGGTCGTAACGATTTAGTTGATACAGCAGTTCGTTTACTAAGTCCCAAGATTGAAACTAATGAAACAAATGAAATTAAATCCAATATATCGAAAGTCTCTCTGGAACCACTTGCCGATGCATACTCAATCTATGAACAAACTGGTCAACAATTCGCAAATTTCCATGGCTTGCGTGATTATTATGCCCTTGTAAAATCCCTTTCAAAAGCTGATCTTACACCAAAAAATATCCAAAAAGCTCTGACTCGCAATTTTGGTGGTACCGATAAAACTCAAGAGTTATGTGAAAAATATTTTGCACAAGTACTAAGGAATTTTAACCAACAACGTGAATGGGAATACATACCATTACCAATAGAAGATTTAATAAATGCAAATCTTGATGATAAGGATGCAAGACACTTGATGGTTATCGGTAAAAGTGATTCTATAGTGAATTGGTTAATATATAAATTGAGGAATAGAAATTTGGATCCAATTGTTATTATGGGATCTCAATTTCCTGATGATCAGGATGATTATGCCTATAGTGTATTAAGTAGAATCATGGTATGTTTTTTATATATAAATTATATGTATATTTGAATGTTTTGCATAAACGTTAAAGTTTTTGATAATGAATAATGTATTAACCCTGTAGATGTGTGTTGAAACTGGAAGACCATTGATTCTTACCGATTTGGAAATTATTTATGGAAGTCTTTATGATCTATGGAATCAGAATTATATCGTTGCAGGTAGTGCGGATAATCCAAAATATTATACCAGAGTGGCTCTTGGTGCTTATGCAAATCCTATGCTGTAAGTATAATTACAAGTATAATAATAAGTTACAATTACATATGTATTTTTTAATATACTCAAATACATTTAATCTTAATATGAGAATAGTTATGTTCACGAGGCATTTAGATGCATTCTTGTTCTCGATGAAACAAAATTAAAGACAGCTGATCCACCACTTTTAAATCGATTCGAAAAGCAAAAGATGACAATCAAAGATACTTTGACCACAACTGAATTCCAAATAGTTGAGCAACTACTAACATGGGTAGATCAAATGTCAAAAATTTTTGGAACACAAGATAATCAATCAAAATTAAACGAAGATTTTAAACAAAAAGATTTGTTTATTGGATTCGATCCTGATGAAACTGTTCAAAGTTTGGTCATTGATACCAAGAAAAATCATCCAAATAGTGATGATCGAGATATCTTGATGAAATGTAAAGAAAAGTTGGTAGCTATTGCTTCAAGTGATGGTATTATCAGAGCTGAAAAATCAGAGTTAGATGATGATGAGAAAAGATATTGGAAAAAAGTCTATTTCGAACATCAACATCATGATAGTATTGTTGACTATATTCAAGATGCATTGAACCAATCTAATAGTTCATGTGGACTTCAAATTATCATTAACACATTTTCCAACATAAATACTGATATTAAAGCATGTTTAGATGGAATTGTCAATTGTCAAGTTGATAAATTATCTACCTTTAAAACTGAATCTCAACTTCAAAATAGGATAAAAGATTTCTGGTTAGAGTCTACTGATGAAATGCTTATTCTTCAATGCGATATTACAGTTGTAAATGCTGGATGTATTAAATTGGCAAAATTCTTAATCGAACAATTTAAAAATGAATATTTGATGAAACGAGAAAAAAGACCTGAACTTGCTTGGAAGACTAAGCATGCATGTATTATTATGCATATTCATAGAGAACAAGAAAATTCTTCTGCATCATTCAATTTTATGTGCGGATGGGATCAAGTCACTATTGAAACTCTTGCGAAACAAGAAAAATCACTTTCGGAATTTATGGATAAAAGTATTGAAGAAGTCATAAATACTACTTATTTGTTTGAAAGTATTTTGAATCAAGAATTGTTATGGTGCTTATTGTGCATGAAATATCCTTCAAGTATGAGATCTATTGAACATATCAAGTAAGTTTTACAATTTACTGAGTAAACAAAAGTACAAATAAATTGCTTAGATTATACGCTAATCATATGTTTAAACCTTTGCACTTTGTATTCAGAATTTTGAGTGCAAATATACATAAGCATCCAAAATTGGTAGAATGTATGAAATCATACACGCGGTCATGGTTACAAGAAAAAGCTTCAACAAATTGGCAATATAATGTGGCATCTAACAAAAAACTGTTATATATTTATCCATCTTTATCTGTGGCATTAATAACACATATCAGAGGACTTGTTAGGATACCAATAGCAAAAATTCTGTGCGCACTTGAACAACATGCAGCAATCAGAACCTTTTTTGACATTGATGCTTTAGACGATGACAAATTTCTTCTTGATTTTTGGTTTAGCATGTTCAATAATAAACAAATCATAGATCTTGAAAAAATTCCAGAACCATCACCAGATTTTTATAGCATGCCACCAGGAATTTACAATTTGAAATTTCCCTTTTCATATTATTTTATGAAACAGATTGACAATTTCAAGCCACTCTATCATGAGGAAATTAATATATTATCGCAAGATCCTCAAAAAGTCGATTCAATAACTGGTGAACTTGATGAGGATGCACACGAAGATTATCTTAAAGAATTAACTGAGAAAATACTCTCAATTAATCTACTATTAGAGACAGCACCTATAAATAGAGTACCAGAATCTTATTTCAAAGATTTTGTTTCAGTTATTGCTTATAGTGAACCTGGTAACGAAGATCCTGAACAACTAGAATTAATATTTAAACGAAGGCTTGGAGAAATAAAAGTGTTGAACCCTGTCGCATTGCATGCGTATTGGTGGTCACATGGAACTTCTATCATAGCAGAATCACAAATAATTAAAATCTGTCCGCAACTAAAAGATATTACAGATAGTGATATTAGCGATATATCAGAAATTATCAAAAGTGCTGTGGAAATAATGTTGGATAGAATTAAAAGTGGAGAAGAAGCCGAAAGATGGAAACACGATGCCAATAAAATTATTACGCTTGGTAAAAAGATATCCACTGATTCAATATCTCTTCAGACATTAAAATTTTATAATGATTTGCTTAGCATTGGCTCGATTCGAAAGAAAAACATTTTACAAATTATTTCCCTTGGACAAAATTCTAACCAAATAATCAGCATTGAAATGTTAGAAGCAGTTTTTGAAATTTTAAACAATACTCAAAACACCGAAAGAAATGTATCTAAACGAACCATAATATTAAGTTTTCTTGATATAATTCCAGTAGAATCTGATGTAAGGATTCAACTTTATAAACAATTGTTTTCAGGCGAACCATTGCAATTAATGAGCGTAATCATTAAAAGAATCTTTGCAATCGAAGAAGAGCATCACAAAGAGGTGTTTTTCAAACTTATTCAAAATGAAACAAATATTTTACAAATATCTCAAAGATTATATGTTATAGATAAATCTATAAAAGATCTCACTTCTGACGTGGCAACTTTATGCTGTGATATTATCCAACATGAATATTTTCATAAAACCAATTTAACTACATTAGCACCATACCTTCAATCAGCTTTAGAAGTAATATGTAATGAAGTACAATCATTAAAACAAATTGTAGCAATAGCATTTTTAAAAGAATTTGTTGGGATGTTTTGGGATTTAGTTTTTCAAGATAAAGATCGATCCATTAAGCATCATCTCATGAGAATCGAACAACATGAACTTTTAAACAATATTGTTGGTTTCATGGATATGTCACAACCATTGATTCATTCACTAAAAATATATTTTCTTCGAGATTTGAGACAGCGTGGCCTATCATTCGATGATGTGAAAAGATTTTGTAAAGGAAGATCTAACGAATTATCCTGGTGTAATCATTTCTCATGGGAAACAAATGATTCATCTCGGTTACCGTTCAATCCATACTGGCATCTATCTAAAAACATTGAAGCCGAAAGTGCATACACACGATTGTATCAATCCTCAGACAATTCTCAAATGCAAAGATTTATCAGAACGATTCAACATGATAATGTGGAATTAAGATTGGTATTACTTGGAATCTTCATGACAAAATTTCATGTTATGCGGGCATCACGAGAATTTAATCAAATAGAACAACGAGCAGCAGACTTTATGATAAAAGAAGTTGACAAAATTTATTTACCAATTGCTTATAAACAAATGATTGAAGAAATTATGAACAATAACCATAATTTATATAGTATTGACACTAATATTACTAGCGGTGAACTGGTCATGAAGTCAGTTCTTGTTCATATTGTGGGATTACATGCTTCCATTTCTCAAAATATATCGCCATTAGCTGCTTATTTGCAAGGTGCTCAAACATGTCAATCACATTATATTATTGCATGTCAGTCCGATTACGAAACTGTTTTGTTTAATGCTGTTGCACAAGGTGGAGTAGTAAGGTACGCATATATATATATATGTTTTGTTTTTTACATGTGTTATTATTATATTTTGGCTACATACATGCATATTAACAACTATTTTTTAAAAGGTATAAATGCGATTGTGGATTTAAATATGTAATTGGTGATTGTGGTAGAGCTTGGGTAAAAGCAAAATGTCCAGAATGCGGAAATGATATAGGTGGGTCTAAGCACATGTTGGCTGGAGGAAATGTTCAACTTGATAAAGAAAAGTCCACTGGTTTCAAAACTCAGGATCAAACAGGATATATTGAAGAAGAGCCGAATAATCAGGCAAATTTTTCAATCCGATCAATGATTCCAGCTTCATATCGAATTCTGCATCTGTTCGTTCACACTCTTATCGCAGCTTCAGCTACAAAAGCAAGCACAACATTATTCATACCAACTGAAAAAAAATATAGTGATATAATTCAATATTGTATGGAACATATTAGGTGTGATTGGAATATTTTGAAACAAGTTCTTAATGTTTCAGATGAGAATTTGGCTCTATTGATTCATTCTATATTAAGTACTATGGCCAAAGAACAATTTCCTCAACAGAAAGCTGTACTTAAAACATCAGTGGAAAGAGAAGATTGGGAAATAGGTTTTAGCGCGGCCTATATTTTACCAAAAATTCAAAGTGTTACTAAAACTGCCGTTGACTTCAAATCGGAATTGAATAAAGCAATGGAAATAGCAAATGTCGCCAAAAATGGATTGGAAGATGATATTGCACAAGAATTAGAGATGAGCCCACAGTATAATAAAGATTACCTTCCTAGGTTGTGGAGATTTACCGGAAAAGTTAGTTTTGATGGATTTAATGCATATTATTTAAAGAATATTTCGCAAAATTCCAAAGACTTCCCATTTTTAAATATTTATTTCAAACACGAAAAGAATTTATCACATTTAAACCATTTTTATCCAATTATCAAATTTGTCAAAATGTTACATTCAAAACTAGCACACAAATTAACTAGGGACAAGGCAATAAATTATACCTTTTATGAATTCATTAAACATGAATCAAAAAATACATTTATATCTTTACAAACAGCTTTTACTGAATTTGAAAAATCCTGGAACGCAGTTGCTGGAAACGTTCGTAGATACCAGTGTCATGACTTTGTGCCTCACAAATTGACAAAGGATGATTCGGTTGTATTCGGATTAGTTGAAGCTAAAGATTCTGGAATTTATTTGTGCGCAATCATAGAATATTTGGTCAATATACAAAATCAATTCTTAGAAGATGTTATTTCAATTCCAGATGAAATATGTTCATCTCTTAAATTCTTACAAAAAGCTGCACCCTGGGCAACTTCAATTCAAGACAAAACAACTACCATTTCCAATCCTTATCATATTCCTTCCAAGCAAATCAATTCTTTACAACAATCTGATATAATCAATTATGAATGGGATAACAAATTACTTCGACATAGTCAACATAATCTTGGAATTAAGCATGGTGAAGAAGTGATATATGATTTGCAGAAAATAGAACAAGAACTTGCACAACTTTTAGTTTCAGAAAAAGTATTCATAGAAGGAAATAGTGAAGATCAATTATACATGGAACAATTTCCTTATCATATGGAATTGTTACATGGTGGTTCAAGAATTTTAAATGAGATCAAAGGATTAATAACACAAGAACCAATCCCTACCGACAAAATTTCATTAATTGGAGATACGAATCAATTAAGAAATCAAGAATTACTTCAATCATTGGAAATTCTTTTATGCTTTATTAAAAGGATATCGACTAAAAGTGGTGAAACACTTATTAAAGATTTTATTGATCAATGGATTCAGTTATCAAATTCGATAGAACTAAATAATTTCCAGAAAATTATTACAATCGAATTAAGATTGAAACACATTGTAGCATTATATGAACTTATTGAAGATCAAGTAGCAAATATTGGAATCAGTTATATTAACGATCAATTTAAAGAACCACTTGATGAAATGATGAAAAAAGAAATTTGTGATTCTTTATTCATCGATCAGCAACAGGTTGTCACGGATAATCCTAAACAACAAACACAAATTCCGGCCGAAGCATTTGTCATTGCACTAAAAAGATATATGCAAAGATTTTTGTGTGTAAATACAAATATTAAAGCAAATACTAAGTTGTATTTCTATCTATGTGACATGAGTTTAAATTTGTGGCCTGATGAAATTAAAGAAACATTAGTGGAAGATATGTTTCCACAATCATTATTGGTTAAAAATACATATGATGCTTATAACTTTGTTAGAGAACAGATTCAGGTGAATTATTAAATATATGATTTAAATTTTAATAACTTCATATTGACAATATTAATTTTTTTTTAATTATATAATTTAGGACGCTGCCCAAACGCAACAGTCGCAAACAAAAGTGATACCACTTCAAGACTTACCCGTGAATAACTCTGCTATACTTCCACCAATTCGTGATAAAGAAACTCCGCTAAATGTAAAGCCAATAGATAGAACTCGTGATCGTGTCCGTCAACGTGGGCGTGGGCGTGTTTTTAACGATAATTTTGATGTATTTTAAAATGGAAAACGTTAATTTATCATAAATTACGTTAATTGAATATAAAATATGTAGTTTTAATTTTTATACTTAAATAGAAAGCAATTAAATAAATATTAATAAAGAATTAGGATATTATAATTGAACTAGAAATTGCACATGAGGGCGGCTTCGCCGGTCAATTCCAACTAACAAATACGTAATTAAGATATTTGCCCACTCATCTAAATTATAATAGATCTGATTACTGCACGCCATTCAATTTTAATTTACCTGTTTATCAGAAATATGTTAAAGCTGGTTTGTCTCAATTATCGCGATGAGTATAAATATAAAATATTTCTGTCACTAAATTTTTTTGTTAGTAACTAGGCGCTTGAATTGCGTAAAGGGAGTTAGCAATGAGGACGTTGCATTGTAAGAATTTTACTGGTATATAGTGTAGAATTTCATAGTTCGGATAAGTATCTATGTATTTATATTTACATCGTTGTTATTGTTTTGGGAGAGATTATGGGATTTACATCGTTGTTATTTTTGGGAAAGATCATGGGATTATCGGCATAATTTAATTCCAACAGTCAATTTATATCGATATGTTTTTTTGTATTAGAACGAAAGTAATAAATAATTATTATAACGATCATTTGAACACGTGAGATTGCGTAATTAATTAAAGATAGGGTTACTTAATTATTGTGAGCCGTGAAACGTGATCCCAGTAATAACTAACGGCTATGTCGATCACCTACCTAATATGGGCTTCCCGGGATTATCGCTCTTAAAAGTCGTTTAGCGGTTATAAGGGTAATAGCGGTGATAAGGGTTTTAAGGAAGAACTATAAGTAAAGGGATATATCATATAACGGGGATTTAAGTAATACGGGACATTAAGAATATATCTGTTAAATAATAAGTTTAGTATGTTTAATAGCTGTAGGAGCGCATATGTAATATAACAG